TAACCACCCAATGTTACAGAGATGAAAAGCGGAAAACATGTTTTATGTTTAGGCTGGGTGACACCCATGACTCTCTTTATAGATACAATGTAGAAATTGAAATTCACAGGATTACAAATTGATCTCCCCCCCACCCCACACACACAAAATGAATGCAGCCACCTTGTCCAGTGAATAGTAAACTGCAACACATTATATTTTTGCCTTTATATGTGTTTTAATCAAATGGATCTGCTATGCTTTGCCCAAATTTAGTGGGGTGCTTTTTGGTTTCTTGTAATCCAACTCACTATAACCTCTTTAAATATTTAATCCCATAAGAAAATAGATAAACACAGTATCAACATCTAAAGAAACACAGAAACCAATTAAAAATATGTAAGAAATCTTTATATACACTAAGGGCCCATTCACACCACATCCAGATTACCTCCAGACCAGACCAGACTGTTTCTGGAGCCAAAATGCATCCCAATTTATCCCTATGCTATGTCTGGCCTATGTTCCCATCAGCGCAGTCCGTTCCAGACCAGAACGCATCAAAAACGCATGGAACGCACCTGTAAGACCATTTTAAGCTAAAACAAAATAAAAATAATTTTTAAACATTCCAATTGCGGCAAAATCACGATTAAAAGCGCGGCAAAAAAACGGTTCTCTCAACCTTGAGGCCCCACCCTCGCTTGGCACAATTCCGCTGCCCCTTTTGCCCATACCCTCCTCTCACATACCCTTGCTTTATTTCCAGTTCTAACGGAAGCGGGCGAGTAGGAGGGAATGAATGCATGCATGTCTCTCCCTCTCTTTCCCCCTCTGTCCCCCTCTACAGTTCCACATTCTCTAGCTCTCCCACCCTTTCTCCCTAACTTTCTTCTATCCTTCTCTCATCCCTGATTCCTCCACCTCCCTCAGCTCCCTAAGAGCCCTGTATACATTCACTCTTTTATCTCCGCCTCTATATGGGGCTCTCTCCCTACTACAAGCCATGATACCTGTACACAGCAATAGGCATATCACTTAAATCTTTAACTCAGCCACCAGTCCCACGTAGCTCTGAGCCCACCCACTCCTAGAGATGTTTACGCAACTTTTTAGCAACGCTCGGGCATACACACCTTCAACATCCTACTCATGCCTCCCGATGGGAGCACATTGGGACCTGTCGGCTGGGCAATGTGCACAGGGTGATCTATAATCAGGTACACTGAGGCTTGTTCCCTGGACCTCCCCATCCCTCACCCCCACTTATAGTATTGAATATATTTTATGTAAGTTACAATGTTGCTTTGTTCTTGAATACTACATGACTGTTTTATGTTTCTTCTCACAATAAAAATGTACTTGTGAGAAAGAAAAAAAAAAACGCGGCAAAAATGCAATGAACTATGTTCTGGTCTGGAAAATGGTGTGAACCTGCCCTAAAAGATAACAAAAGACACCTTCCTGCAAAACGGTCTTAGTGTCTGTCACACTAATAAATCTAACATCATCATCAGGTGCAGACAAAGAGCAGGGATGCTCAAAACGTTTGAGCATGTACCTGTACAAACCAGTGCGGGACATTCACAGAAGTGAGTACACCCCTCACATTTTTGTAAATATATTATATGATTTCATGTGACGACATAGAAGAAATGACAATTTGCTACAATGTAAAGTAGTGAGTGTACAGCTTGTATATCAGTGTACATTTGCTTTCCCCTCAAAATAACTCAACACACAGCCATTAATGTCTAAACCGCTGGCAACAAAAGTGAGTACACCCCTAAGTGAAAGTGTCCAAATTGGGCCCAAAGTGTCAATATTTTGTGTGGCCACCATTATTTTCCAGCACTGCCTTAACCCTCTTGGGCACAGAGTTCACTAGAGCTTCACAGGTTGCCACTGGAGTCCTCTTCCACTCTACCATGACGACATCACGGAGCTGGTGGATGTTAGAGACTGGTGGATGTTAGAGCACTGTGCATATATACACAGTGCTCAGCATACATGAGTACACCCCAACAGATTTGTCAGAAAACCTTTACTTTCCTTTCAGAATCAACATTTCCTATGGGACACTATACTACAAAATACTCCCACAAATGTGGGCCATTGATTGCAATCAAGATTTGTTAATTTGCACATACAAAAAATAATTTTTCCTAAATTAATTCAAGACCATGTTGCAAAAATAAATACACCCCAATGAAAGTCATAGGAGCAAAACTAAATTTTACACAACAAAATCCTAATTAACAAGAATTCAGTTACAGGTGAGTATAATTATTCAATAAACAGGTGTCCAGCAGACAGTTGATTATAAAAGGGCATTACTTAACAAAGAAAACCTCTTCCCATGTCATGCTGTCAGCAATGTCACAAGGCCTGAGTAAGAAAATAATTTCTTTACACAAAAAAGGTGAAGGTTACAAGAAGAACAGCAAAGCTTTACTTATCAGTCAGAATACTTTAGTAAAAGAGATACAAAAATTTAACAAAGATGGAACTGCCACCATCTCACAAAGACGTCCAGGCCATCCACGGAAGTTAACACCTCGACAGGATCGTCTTCTGATGAGAAGGGTTGAAGAAAATCGCCAAGCAAGTTCACTGCAGTTAGCTAAAGAAGTAGAAAGCCAAACTGGGGTGATTGTTACCCGTCACACAATACGGCGTACATTGCAGAGGAATGGCATGCATGGGTGTCATCCACGAAGGAAGCCTCTCCTAAAGTCCATGCACAATTTGCCAGGGCCCATGCTGAAAAATTAGACTACTGGGACTCTGCACTCTGGAGTGATGAGACCAAGATCAATATTTTTGGAACTGATGGCTGCAAAACTGTATATCGTCGCAAAGGTGAGGAGTACAAAGAAAAATGCATGGTGCCTATAGTGAAACATGGTGGTGGCAGCATACTTCTGTGAGACTGCATGAGTGCTGCTGGTGTTGGGGAGCTGCATTTCATTGATGGTATAATGAATTCACAAATGTACTACTCTATATTGAAAGAGAAGATACTACCATCACTCCGTGCCCTTGGTCATCGTGCACTTTTCCAACATGACAATGATCCAAAATACACATCTAAGGCCACTGTTGCATTTCTGAAGAAGAACAAGGTAAAAGTGATTCATGTCTCCTGATCTGAACACCTATGGGGAATTCTGAAGAGACAAGTTGAGCATCGTCTCCATCCAGCATTCAGGCTCTAAAAGAGGTTACTAAATATTCCCCGGTCAACTGTTAGTGGTATTATAACAATGTTCAAGCAACTGGGAACAACAGCAACTCAGCCACGAAGTGGTAGGCCACATAAAATGACAGAGCGGGGTCAGCGCATGCTGAAGTGCACAGTGTGCAGAATTCGCCAACTGTCTGCAGAGTCAATAGCTACAGACCTCTAAACTTCATGTGGCCTTCAGATTGGCACAACAACAGTGCATAGAGAGCTTCATGGAATGGGTTTCCATGGCCAAGCATCTGCATCCAAGCCTTACATCACCAAGTGCAATGCAAAGCATCGGATGCAGTGGTGTAAAGCACTCCATCAATGGACTATAGAGAAGTGGAGACATGTTTTCTGGAGTGACGAATCACGCTTCTCTGTCTTTACACGCACATGAACTTTAATGGCATCCCAGTCTTAGTCCGTAGGGTTCAATATTGAGTTGGCCCACCCTTTGCAGCTATTACAGCTTCAACTCTTCTGGGAAGGCTGTCCACAAGGCTTAGGAGTGTGTCTATGGGAATGTTTGACCATTCTTCCAGAAGCGCATTTGTGTGGTCAGGTACTGATGTTGGACGAGAAGGCCTGGCTCGCAGTCTCCATTCTAATTCCTCCCAAAGGTGTTCTATAGAGTTGAGGTCAAGGCTGACTCTGCTCTGTCATTTTATGTGGCCTAACACTTTGTGGCTATATAGGGGAATCTAGCACATATGGTGAGCGCTTAAGGACCAGCCATGAAGCCGTTATCACATAACAAAGGATAGTCCTGTTCAGTGTCCCAGTCCCAGGACCTTACTGTTTTCTTTAACAGGATCTCTTCGGGAATACACTGTGCCCTTTGAGCAGCTTTCAGCAGCCTTTGATTTCACACCCACACACCTTGGGTTCCTGGCTCTCTCAGCCTCTCTACGCCTTCCAGCCCCCCAGGCTGTTCCTCGTGTGCCTCCAGCGCACACACAACCACCTGGTTCCACTCTGGCTTCTGGACACAACCTGTCCTTCTTCCCAGCAGGAGCCCTCATGTGCCTGCAGCCCACACCACACCAACTCCTCCCTTGAGCTCTTATTGCGGCTACTCTCAGCCACCTGATGACTGGCAACACCTGACCCCAGGACTGGAGATTTCATACCACCCTGAACTCTTAGAAATCTCCAGCGATCCAGATCCTGGCTACAATCCAGAAAAGAAACTGAAAGGCCAGCTTCTTCATGT